AACCCTGAGTCATTATTAAACGACAAACAGTAATTATGTATTAGTGTTGTCTTTATCAAAGTTTAACTGCTCTCTTTTTGTTCAGGGCGACATGTCATCAGTCTGCAGTACTGCAGATTTTCGTCCTGAAGTCCCAAAGGAGGAAGATGAAGAAACAAACACGCCTGTGGACTGCTGCAGCGACAGTAGGCACATGCATGCATTCATAGACACACATTAGCGTTTGTGATTATAAGGTGAAGCGTTCCTTGTGGACCGACTGCAAAGTTAAATGTGTGCTGTGATTTCATTGGCCAATTCAAACACTGCATTTGTTTGTTAATTGATATTTCAGAGTTTTACAGTGGCTGTCCACTCCTGGACATAGACACTTCCCAGGGCCGTGGGAAAGTCTGGTTTAATTTCAGGAGAACTTGTTTCACTATTGTAGAGAACAACTACTTTGAGACATTCATCATATTCATGATCCTGCTGAGCAGCGGTGCTCTGGTAAAACCTTCATTTCTTCTTCTGAGTTTTTTATGTTTTGTTCTGCTTGTAATATTTTTGTTTTATTAATCCTCATAATTCTGATTGCTGCTCAGTTTTCTCAGTGCTGATTGGTTTGTTTTGATCATGTGACTGAGCAGGTCAGAAATGACTGGTTCGTATTTGTACAGTGATTACTAACCTGTGGAGACAGTGTGGGCCTACTAATATGTCTGCTTCAGGTTTTACAGGTGAGATATAACAAATACCCCTACATGAACACATGACAACTCAAAGAAACACCTTTTAATCAGCATTCAGCATCAAGTCAATTAAACTTTTATGAAGCTCAGTTTCAAGCTGCTTTCGTATTATTGAAATTACTGTTCCTGGAACACTAGAGGATCAACAATTGACTGGCCCACACGCTTGCCTAACCCAAATGTGATAGAACACAACCGGGACGTTATGTTTCAATCCATCCAACGCCGCCAGGTGGCACCTCAGACTGTCCAATAGCATCATCTTATCAGAAAGAGGCTCTGACATTGTCACCCATGCATACAACACAAACTACAGAGTGCCATTTGTTGGTTGCTGCAATAAAATTTCAGCAAAATAGACCAGCCTGCTGCATCCTTTTTTTTAGTTAGATTTTCAGGATGTTGTCTGTAGGCAGTGTTGGGAAGGTTACTTTTAAAATGTATTCCATTACAGA